GATCCTTCTGGAAAGTCCTCTAGTGAATCACAGTGGATGCTTCTGGGACTAATAAAATCACTAACAGGTGGTGGGGCCATCCTACTGTAGGATTTTATACATCTGACAGGTGTTTGTTAACTTGATAAGATTATTCCAGCCTCAAATACTATTACTACTTTTTCCTTACACAAAATGAATGGTAATAAATTGATTTTTTTTTTGTTTCAAAAAGGAAAAACAAGCAAACTCAAATGTCCTTCGTTTTTGTGTTTGCTTCTCTTGTGACACATTTTTAGGGTACAGTGCGCTTTAAGTAAACCTGTCGAACTTCCTTTGAGCGCCCATTAGCTTTAACTTCCGGCCTCTCTTGAGTGAGTGAATCTGTCAACTTCTGAAGTGTTTCATCTGATGCGTTGCAACAGGAAGAAGGGCTGAATAGGAGCTGAGTCCGTGGGGGAAATCAGCAGGTGTTTGAACAGGCACAAAGAACAGGTGGCAGGCAGGCGCAGCGACGTGTCTATGTGGGGGTTCACCTGCTCCATGAAGCCTTCACCTCCCACCTGAAATCTCTGCTGCTCGACTCTAGACGCGGCAGCAGTAATTTAACAAATCCGAAACTCTTCAGACACCTCTTCATCTCTGCATCCCATAATTATTAAATAACTGTCATCACTAGCTCTATTAGAACCCTCTGTTTTTGTCAGGCAGCAGGACACTTCTTCAAAGAAATGTGTGCGTGAAGTCAAATAACTAAGGCTATGCCTCATTCCTTAGTCTGACATTAGGAATGAACACTACATCTCTCACTGTTACTCTAAACATAAAGATGAAGCGGATGGTTTAAACTGGGAACTTCAGATGTGAGTGTGTGGGAGGAAAGAAATTTAGAGTGTATACAAAGAATAAAAAAAGCTCTACTAGTAATATTTGGACCAACAGCTTTGATAATAATTCATCGGAGTAAATTTAAGTAATGTCACAACATTTATAGTCATTCAGGATTAAACCGTTAAAGATGCAGCTGTGTAAAGTTCAACCCAGCATGTCTTAAAGATTCATCAAAAGACTAACAACAATGTAAAAGTCTCCCTGAATCTTATTTTTTACTATTTCAGTCTGAATCCCAAAATTGGCATCTGGAATGGTCACATATACTGACCAATAAAAAAATGTGTCCTAGATAGATTGCTGAGCTAATTCTCTGTTGCATGATTTTACTAAACAAGCGATCTGACCAACAGATAATTCAATGGCTTGGAGGCGGCTTACAGCAGCAGCTCATTAATGTTGAGTTGTTTAGAGAGTTTGAACTTGTAATGGCCACACGCGGAGCAAGCTTACCTGCTAATTGGACATTAAAAAAAAGAGGTTGATGTGATATCTTAGGAAATTTTGAGTATTTCAGTCAGCAGTGTAATTACATGATATTTCTGCTTCCTGGTATAGTATGCAGGAAATTAAATATGAAAGAGAATTAAATATTGCTGCAAGGGAATGGAATATGAAAATGGAAAATAAGAGAATGAAGAAAAAGCCCTAGCAGAGGCTCATTTATTTTTTAAATGAATTTATGGTATTCTCAATAAGTAATAGTTTAGGAGTAATTTACAATTCCATCCAAACCTGAAAGTAAACTTACAAATGATTGAAATATACATATGCTGGATTTTTGTCCTATGATGCCTTTTGAATGTGCACAGAGCACCCCACCTGGTAAATATTAGTGAACATGTGCACAAGCTCTGTAGCTGTGGAGCAGGAAACGATTGCAGAAAAGAAGGTCAAGTGAAAATGGATGTTTATTGCAAAATAAATTATACAAAATTACATTGAAAGCTAAGAAAAACAAGGCAAGGAACAGTGGCAGAGTCACAGATGAGAAACACACAGCTTATTGTGCTGAGGAAGGTGTGGAGAATGACTACCAAGGCTGGCATTGACAAATGTGAAGCAAGTGATGCAGAAGGTGAAAAGGGAGAATCTTAGTGAGAGAGACTAATTAACAGAGATTAGCTAATCTAGACAGCTTTCGAATATTTGTTTAAAAAAATAATTCTAACATTCAAACTGTTTTAGACGAATTAAAGTGCTTTGCTCATTAACACTGAACCAACACACATGCCAAAAAGGTGCAGAAGTCTGAATGAACATTACACAAAACACCTGATTTCATTGATTGCCTCAAAGTGTTGCTGAATACCATTTTAGTTCAGGATGGAGCTCCATCAGGCTTGCTTACTTTGTGTATTTATTATATGTTTGTATGTATGTATGTATGTATGTATGTATGTATGTATGTATGTATGTATGTATGTATGTTGAATGTATGT